CCTCCCCCCAAATCCAGCTTGGATATGAGTTTTAACCAACCAGGAAGTTTTGTGAGGGTGTTGTTATAAGGGAAACGTAAGTCTGTGTTAGTGCTGATGAAATAGTGAAGTCTGCATTAGTCACATACTGTACAGTGGGGTCTCTACTTAAGAATGTCTCTACTTAAGAACAATCCAACTTAAGAACAGCTCCATTTGCTAAATTTTGCTTCTACTTGAGAACAGAAATCCAAGATAAGAACAGGAAAAAAAACCTTTCCTGCTCTTTTTTTAACCTTAGGTCATCTTAGGTTAAAAAAAAATTCTCCCCCTAGTGGTAGAGTACGCATTAACCAGCTTTGCATTAGTTCCTATGGGAACGAATGCTTCAATGTACGAACGCACCTCTGCATAACAAAAAAACAGCCAGAACGGATTAATTGGTTTTCAGTCCATTCCTATGGGAAATTTTGCTTCAACTTAAGAACGTTTCAACTTAAGAACACCATTCCAAAACAGATTAAGTTCTTAAGTAGAGGTTCCACTGTAGTTTCTATGGACGGAAAAGAGCAGATACGGATTAAATGGTTTTCAATGCATTCCTATGGGAAATGCAGATTCAACATAAGAACTTTTCAACTTGAGAACCACCTTCCAATACGGATTAAGTTCTTAAGTAGAGACCCCACTGTATATAGACAGAGGTAGCAGAGTTCATCATTAGGTCCTTCTAGGTAAGATGCATGTGTGGGCAAAGAAATGCATAATGTCTGGCTCATCCATTGATGTCTGTATCAGTTTCTAGCATTAAACAAACAAACAAAAAAGCATATAGAAGATATTCCTTCACCACCCCCAAAATACTGGGCATATAATAGAACTAAAGAAGAAGAAAAATCCAAAGCCTGATTTCTTTCAGTTGCAGCCTGGTTAATAGTTATCTTGCTTTCTTTTCTTTTCTCTGGACACCGCGGTGAGAAGACTGAGCTGGGAATGGCCACTAGAAAGAGAGCTCAAACAGTGGCCTATAATTCTTCACTTGCCCTCTCTTACTAGTTGTTTTAGAACTGGTCACAGGAAAGAAAAAAACAAGTATCTCATTTGATTACCTGTACTTCATTTCGGGTAGTGCAGTTCTTGACAAGCCCAGTCCTTCATAACATTGAGCCCAGTGAGAGAGGATGAGTGAGCAAGTAAGAGAACACCTAGTAAGTGTGAAGAATCCATTAATAGGAATCATTCTTTGTCTCTTAAAGCCTGACAGTATTGTTCTGTAGTCCATAAAAATTCATGCCAAGGACTCTCTTGTTATGGTCTGGCCTTATGTCTCATTACATTCCCTCTCAGATTGCATTTCTTGCTTTATTTGAAACTTAGAGTAGAGCCTACTGTTACCAAAGGATATTCACTGTTGATGTTATTTCTTGTGGCCCTTCAGATAGTTTTCTCAATGGGCAGTCTTATAATTTGTTTTAATATAGAAAAGAATAGTGCTAGCATTGTGCTTTTTAACTAGGCATTTTGAATTTATTCATATACCTAATCTTGTACTTGTTGGTGGTGCCTGCTGTATATATTCTCCAATAAGTAAAACAGGTAGAAATACTAATTGCAAGTGTATTTCTCCCCAAAATCTGGCTAATGGTGCTATGTAAAAAAATGTGTATAAGCAGATGTAGATGCTTTATCTCTTACATTCATAAAGTCTTCTAAATCTTGAAAAGGCTGGCTGATTTTGAATTGCCATTTGTACACTAGAGACAACTGCATGTATGTTGCAGTATAGCCTATCTGTTTTCATAGTCCTGCAGCTCCTTTTTGTTATTTGCTGGGAATCCAGACCACTGTCTACTTGAAGAAATATGTTTGCATAGTAAACAACTTAAGGTGATTCATGTAAGTGAACTAAAATACAAGTTCCTGGAGAAAGCTGCCAGCCTAAGAGCATAATACTAATTAGCCAAGATGGCTGAGAGCCAGCTGAGTTGATGCTAGCTGACGCTCTGCTGAATCCAAATTGCCCCCAGCCTTGCAATCCTGAAAATTACTTTTAACTCCCCTGGCCATCGCCTAAGTATGTGCCAGCAAAGTGACTGTGTCTCTGGGCTGGAGGAGGCTTGGATCTAGAAAAAACAGACTTCCTTACTCACTCTGCCCCTTTTGTCCCCCCATTTTTGGCTCTTTTGCTGGCAGATCCTGTTGCAGCAAATCAAGCAAATAGAGGAAATTGTTCAAGCACAAGGTGACTTGGGCCAGCAGAAAAGGCTTCTGCTTTTTCCTAGCCCAGGTAGCTAATACATCTTTCAGTTAGAGTTGCTCTGTAACCCAGAAGGAAATTGCTCTCAACTCCAAATGTAATGGTAAAGCAGTATGAATAGAGATAAGTCCATCTGATACATTTAGTCCAAGGAAACTTTATTAGGTTGGCTATGTACTTATTCAGACTTAGACCGGAGACCTATTGAAATAGTGGGATTTAAATTTTGATTTAAAACTAATTTGGACAGTATTGTGAATTGTCATAATTGAAGGATGTTTTGTTTTTAAGTCCTTAGCAAATGTAAGGGAATTCAGACTAAGTTTGCGAACTTAGCAACACAACCTTTATAGGGGAATTGAGAAATACAAACTGTTCACCTATTGCATAATTGGGAAATATGAACTCTTATCTATGAAATCATCCATTACATACATAGTTTTAACATAATAGCTAGCTTGTTGCGTGTGTTTATGGTTTTCACTAGTTGTCAGACTAGTCTTGTCAATCCAGTTTTTGCTACTTGTAAAATAGCCAACATTAAGTGAAATTTGTAACATACGTATGGCTCCATTACTTCCTGATGATAAACATAACATAAAACTAATTATGTTCTGTTTTTTATTTTTGTATTAATTTAACAAACAAAAAAGACAATAGACAATCAGACATAAACTACGTTGTACTCTCTTAAATTCACTATTCTTCTACAAGTCATATTTTCTCTGCCTAGTGCCACCCTCCCCTTTGGGACTAGGTTCCAGAGCTTTGACTTTACAGTTAACTGCTCTCCATATCTCTCCAGAAATTCATTGATTCTTCTTTTGGTGTGTATCTTTTCCCTTTAATCAAGACATGTTCCAGAAAATCATTAATTTCTGATGTTCTTCCTCTGATTTTCATATGATAAACCATTTTATCATTAATTGTCATATTCCACACTTCTCTGTACTGTACTTCCTTATTAATATGATTGTCACCTTTCCAATTCTTTGCAGTTAGTAACCTTGCCACAGTTACCATTATGTTGATAAACTCATTTTCTTTCCTGTACTTGTTTTGCATTAACAACTTTCAATAAGGCCATCATAGAAGACAGTTGTACATCAATTCTGATTATATCCCTTATTTCATTAAAAAAATCCTCCATTCTTTTCTTATTTCACAACACCACCACATATGTATGTATGTCTCTTTCTTACACTTCCAGCAAAAAAATTATAAGCTATTGTACATTATGTTTGACTTAACCAGTGTTAAATACTATTTCCATACTACCTTATATCAATTGTCTTTAATTCTTGCTGACATATTTATCATCATTCTTTTATTCTACATCTTGCTGCATTTTTCCTCTTTGATTTCTTTACCCAAATCCTCCTGCCATTGGTCTTTTATTATAGGTGTTTCATAGTCTACTAGTGTCAAACATTTACATATTTTGTTTACAATAACTTTTCTATTTTTTTTTGTATCCCCTCTCTGCCTTTTTTCTATATTTTCTTCAAATTTCATCAATTTTCTTCCCTTTCCTTCCTTGTTTTTCCACTCCTTTGTCAATTTTTCTAAATGGAGTATGTTTAACCATGAGATACTCTTTTCTGTGTTGTTAAAGCCAATTTCATGCAGCTTCCTTAACAGAATTTGGGTAGATTTTTTTTGGTGACTGTTTATCCACAAGTGCTAATTGAGTCAATAGAAATATATTTATGAAGCATAATAATTCATATTTTAATGTGTGAAAGCAGATGACTATTCCTTTCTGCTTTCACACAGAAATAGTTAAGATGAATCACTGGGTAAACTTGTACGTGGGAAAGAAGATAAATTGAGGAGAAATACAGAGTTATAATGCATCCATCATGGTGTAGTTAAGATGATAGAGTGAAATCTGAGTCCCCACTGAGCCATGGAACTCATTCCGTGACCTTGGTGAATCACACCCTTACAGCCTGTCATACTTCACAGGGTTGTTGTGAGGATAAAATTGAGGAGAATCATGTATAACCTAAGTAACCCTCTTGTACAGGATACTCTAGTAGTGGGTAATGTTGTATGAATGGGCATGTCCTTCATCACTGTCACCTGTCTGAGCTTCCTTTTGCCTCCATTCAGTCATACTTGTAAAGCAAAGAGATGAGATATTCTCTTCTCCATTAAAGGGAAAGAACACCAAAAACAAGATAGATCTAAAAGAAGAGGGCAAAGACTTAAATACTAACACCATAACTGGTGGGGTAAATAAAGAACTTAGTAAAGCTTAGCTTGCACTTGGCTAGAACACAAGAACCAAGAGTGGATATCTGCCATTAAAAACAACAACAGATATTTGACATTAACATCACCACATCAGGCAGTGTGCTTGAGGGCTTTAAAATAGTGACTGGCTGCTATCAATTCTAGTGCACATCTTCCTCCTTCTAAATGAAATTTTGGTACTACCAACAGTTGCATAAAATGTCTTGCCACATTGGAGGAGATTGTGATGGTTGGTGGCAGCAGATGATGTTTCATGGCAGAAGCTGTGGGAATTGGCAGCCTGATGGTGGAGATGGGCACTGCTTGCCCATCTCAGATGACAGCATGACTTGGGCTGGACCTGGGAAGGGGGACCTGGATCTCCTGTATTTAGACTAAACCCATTGTGAAAAGACTTGGACTCTGGCCTAAGTGGGTATCAGTTATTTAACATTCAAATGAATTCAACAAATGTTTCCTTTATAAAGGAGTTTATTTATGACACCATGTTTCACTTTTATTTCAGGTGATCTCTTGTAATCTAGTTGGAAATGCCTTTCACTTTATTGTCAATGTATCCTGTACATCACCCATTACTGCAGAATGTCAGTCTTACAGTGTAAAGCTGTCTCCGGTGTACTTGAAGGTAATATTCCAAGCTTCCTTTGATAAATTTTACATTAAGGTCCATGAAAGAAAGCATATTTATTCTATTTTGTGTGTTTGCATTATTATTATTTGCTGTGAAATAAATATTAAGGCATTTCATAATTTAGATTAGGCATCCTTCACTCTCGAGAGACTATGGTAACATGCTCTGAATAGAGGACTTGGAACAGCGTCTAGTGTGGCTGAGAAGGCCAATTTGATAGTGACAATCCCTTCCACACTGAAGACAAATACAATCTGTCCCCTGTCCAGCTCCCTGATTTTGCTGCTTTCTGGAATGCCGCTTTGCCTCGTCCTGCTGGACAAGGGTCTCTTCAAATTGGGAGAGGCCAAGATGCAACGCCGGCCTCCAGGCTGAACGCTCAGATGTCAAGGTTTCCCATCTGTTGAGGTCCATTCCTATGGCCTTCAGATCCCACTTGCAGATATCCTTGTATCGCAGCTGTGGTCATATCAGCTCTGGGGTGCTTTCCCTGCACTAATTCTCCATACAGGAGATCTTTTGGAATCCGACCATGAGCCATTCTCATGACATGTCCAAGCCAACATAGATGTTGCTGTTTCAGTAATGTATACATACTAAAAATTCCAGCTTGTTCTAGGACTACTCTATTTGGAACTTTGTCCTGCCAGGTGATACCAAAACTGCGTCGGAGACAACACATATGGAGTGTGTTCAGCTTCGTCTCCTGCCGTGTACAAAGGGTCCAGGACTCACTGCAATACAGGAGTGTACTCAAGACACAGGCTCTATAGACCTGGATCTTGGTATATGGCACTAGCTTCTTATTGACCCATACTCTCTTTGTGAGTCTATGATAGCTCAGGGGTTTAGGTATCTGGCTGCAGAGCCAGAGGTTGGGAGTTCAGTTCCCCATTGTGACTCCTTCCTAGCTGCTAGACTCCATGTTCCATAAAGTCCCTTCCAACTCTGCAGTTCTAACATGACCTGGTTTGAAGAATCAAATCTGAGGTATCTGATTGTAGCAGCTTTGTGTTCCATTTGTGCAGACAGGTAAGTCAAGAAGCTGCAGATAATCATTGTTTCTTGGTTTGGATGTAATACGAAGCTATGCCAATACATATTGTTGTTCCAGGTAGAGACTGCTGTGGCTTCAGGATTTAACATGAAATTTATATGACATAGGGCAAATTGGTTTGGTAGCTTATAGGTGATGGATAGTGACAGTGACGTTGCTGTTGCAATTCAGGGGAATGTGAATAAACCAGGATTTGCTTTTTGGCTGTTAAGCACATACATTTAATTCAAATTGTGACAAGCCCAGTAGCTGCTGGATAAATATATGCCTTGTAACCAATGAGCCTACTGCTGAGGTACAAATTCTGTTCATATCAGAAAAGCTGAAACAATAGTCATCATAACTGATCATATCAACAGCTAGAACTTTCGATGAAATCCAAAGAGGAAGACATCCAAGTCAGGTGGTCTTTCATCTATACCTCAGAAACAAATACTGAAGTCAAGCCTACTAGAGAACAAGAGGTAAATGCTTTAACATTTGTTGCATTCTCTGTAATTGCCACCCAAACTGTAAGTTAAAGTGAATTGTAATATTTTTTTAACTTATAAAATTTTTCCTCTCATTTAAATGACTAACACTGGGCTCTTATAGTATTTAAAAGCAGAATGTACAGCTGCAGTCTAGTATTGAAGCATATCCCACTGAAGGAATTAAAATAAGCCTCTTGTCTCTTTACGGTTGGCTTGAGAAGTTATATGCGAGTGCTTCCGATATATGCTTGTAACAGTTTACAGAAGCTCTTAATATTGTACACAGGATGGGGAACAGTGGAAATCCACATCCAGTTGGACTTCTTTGTCTTTTTCTTTTTGAATGTATCCTGTTCCTGAAAGTTGTCTCAGGGTACTGTATCAATTTGTGTCATGTGCTCTTTGTGTCACCATTCCTGTCCTCATGGAGTTGTTGAACCCATGGGGTCCTTCTTTCACTTGGCACTCCCAGGGTTAAGGACTGTTGAGCTGTAGTAGTGACAAGGGATGGAACTGTCATACAGTCGTGCCCCGCTTAATGATTACCCCGTATAACGATGAATCAGCTTCACAACGATGTTTTTGCGATTGCAATTGCGATCGCAAAACAATGTTTAAAATGGGGTTTGTGCGCTTTGCGAAGATCGGTTCCCTACTTCGGGAACCGATTCTTCGCATTACGACGATCAAAACAGCTGATCGTCGGGTTTTCAAAATGGCCGCTGGGTGCTCAAAATGGCTCCCCGCTGTGTTTTTGGACGGATTCATTGCTCTACAGGCACCGAAAATGGCCACCCCTAGGGAGGATCTTTGCTGGACGGTGAGTTTTTCAGCCCATTGGAACGCATTGAACGGTTTTCAATGCGTTTCAGTGGGCTTTTTTATTTCGTTTCACAACGTTTTCGCTCTACAGCGATTTCGCTGGAATGAATTAACGTCGTTAAGCGAGGCACCACTGTATTATATAAAGAAACCAAGGCTGGCTACAGCTAATGTACATTCTGCTAAATATTACAGGTAGATATCATTGGGTTCAAGGGATGTGCATGATTGACATGTTAGTGACAATTAGAGATGGGGTATTCGTATCCAAATACGAATATCCCTGCACAGCTGGACTTAATGAGGGTCCACCCCCTGGGGCCAGATCATCCACTCACACATCCGCTGGTGGCAGGGGCCTCGCTCATCCTTCCAGTCACTCCTGGAGCACCACTCTCTTCCTTCTCAGCTAGCTACTCGGCAGCTGCGCAAGGAGACTCATCTTCCCTCCCCCTGCCTGGAGTGGCTAGCTGAGTGGGAAGAAAGTGGTGCTCTGGGAGTGATTGGAAGGATGAGCGAGGCCAGTGGCAGTGGCAAATGCATGAGTGGACAATCCGGCCCCAGGGGGAGGACCCTCATTAAGTCCAGCTGCATGGGGATATTCATATACGAATACCCCCATCTCTAGTGACAATATATCTTGAAACATATATGTCTTAGACATTACTGGGTATGGATTATATTCTAAGTAATACCATGTTACATTTTTATATATAAAAAAGTACCAATATGTGACTAAACATTGTATCTAGGTTAACATCCAGGAAGATTTTACAGACTCTTTTTTTTTGTAAAAGAGCAAGAATTATTAAGGATGTTCAGAGAAAATGATGTCTATGCAGCAAGTACTGTAGTTGTAACGTTGCTGCATTATGACTGCAGACTCTTCTTGATTATCAGTATAGATCAGCAGTTTTGTTAATGACTTGTGAAGCTTGCTAAGAAGCAAGTTCATCAGTGTGATTTTTGCTTTTGCATCTTGGCTAAAAACCATGACTTGATTTCCAGTCCTGTGTTTGAAATGTTGTTGCAGTGATTGTAATGTCATAATTCACTCAATCTATTTTGAACATTATTTTTCTTTAAGTAAGAGAGTATATTTAAAGTTTGCAGACCTATAGAGGCTTTGGGCGATATCCAACTGGTGTCTGTCATTGGTAAGATGGAATGCATCAATGCAGTGGATCCCCAGTTCTCTTACAGCAGTGGTGTCCAACCTTGGCCCTCCAGATGTTCTTGGACTTTAACTCCTAGAACTCCTGGCCAGCAGAGGTGGTGGTGAAGGCTTCTGGGAGTTGAAGTCTAAGAACATCTGGAGGGCCAAGGTTGGACACCACTGTCTTACAACATTCTCATATTCTGTTTTGGAGGACTGGGACAACTTGTGGAGCAGATAGAAGGTCAAATGGATCGTAAGAGAGAGAGAGAAAGAAAGGGAGGTGATTGTAAAAGTAGAATAACCTTTGCATGACTAGGCTAACTTGCGTTAGCCTGGTCATGCAAGCACAAAACAAAATTAGAAACACCCAGGCGGCCATTTTTGGTTTTGATCTTGGTTGATTTTTGGTCTGAGGAACGTTGTGGGCAGCTTCTGATATGATGAAAGCAAAAGCCAGGGGTATTCAGTAGTGTTGGTTGTGTGCAGAAATAAATGAATAAAAACTTACGCAGAGAGGATGGAGATGCCTAGGGGATTGCCCTGAGGCCCCACATATGACTCATTTATGTCATAACTTTTGTGATATTTTTATTTGCTGATTTATGTTGTATTGGAAGCCGCCTAGAGTGGTCGCAAGACCAGATAGGCGGGGTAGAAATGAAATAAATAAATAAATAAATAAATAGGTCATACTTGGCCTGCTGGCCTTTAGGTAGGTGGCAAAGACATTCCACTGAGCTTTTAATGTGTTAATTTGAGATTGAAAGTTTTAGTTCCACTCTTCTTTGTTCTGTTTTTATCTGTTATTTAAAAAAACATTTTATTAATATCTAAACATACAAACTTAAAAACATTAACAATCTAACAGATAATTAACAACAACAACAAAAACACAGCTAAACATCCATATTTCCCCTACGGATCAGAGATTTCACTGTTGTCTGGTCACTGGAATATCTTCAAGGGGATTCTTGTGAGCACTAGTTTGCTATAGACTAATTTTCCCCCTCACCTTGCCAACAAAAGTCCGAATAGTCAAAGCTATGGTTTTTCCTGTCGTGATGTATGGAAGTGAGAGCTGGACCATAAAGAAAGCAGACCGCCGAAGAATTGATGCCTTTGAATTGTGGTGCTGGAGGAGGCTCTTGAGAATCCCCTGGACTGCAAGGAGAACAAACCTATCAGTTCTAAAGGAAATCAACCCTCAGTGCTCACTGGAAGGACAGATCCTGAAGCTGAGGCTCCAGTACTTTGGCCATCTAAAGAGAAGAAAAGACTCCCTGGAAAAGACCCTGATGTGCTTTGCTTTACAAAGTCTCTTGGTTGATGCCGTAGTGCCTCTAAAAGCATGTTTAGTTTTGCAGTATCCAGTACCCCAAAACTGTATTTGAGTGTAACAGACTCATTCTCAGTTGAGCTCTAGCAACTGGTGTTCAGACACATACTAAATGTTGAAAGCGCAGGCAGTATTGGCTTTAGAACTTTTTCCACCAGGATCCCAAGACAGCTAGCAGCAGAACCAATGAATTAGATAACATGTTTTAAAATGAAAACATATATTCAGATGAAACATAAATGTGTATGTGTTGGAGAGAGTTAAACTGTATGTCACAGTAGTAGAAGAGAAATTATGTCTGCTTTTGCTTCCATTTTTTAACATAACGAGCTCCAGTTTTCCAACAGCAAAGTAGCTAAAATGTGTGATTGCAGTGTAGAGTGGGATAGGTCTGGTGTCTTCTTGAGGAGATGAGCCATACTGTGTATCAAGGAAGGCAGTGAATGCATTCTGTGATGACTCTTTTGGATTTTAAAACAGTGCATTGATTCCTTCATTTCTTTCTAGGACCAGAATGCTGGAGCATTTACTTTAGCAGAATCATTTAAACGCGTGCTGCAGAATATTATCAGTTCAGCAACTCCCTCTATGGTTCTGAGTACAAAACCTACAGAAGTTAAGGCAATACAGGTACTTTTTTTTCTGTTTACATCAACAATCTCCTTTTAGGCAAAAACAAAATAAAAATTAAAAAAATAAAGAAATCAAACATGTTGTGGCACCTTAAAGACTAACTGCAATATTTCAGTGCAAGCTTTTGTAGGCAAGTCCACTTCCTCAGACATACTTCAGAGTTGACTATATGGAAAATATTTATATATTTACTAATTTTTTGCTGTACTTTCTTGTTCACAATTCCTGTGTCAAGACTTTCAAGAGTTGATTACCCGACTGCAACCACACTATTATTTCTCACGTATTTACGTGTGACCATTAGAAATTAATGTAAACCACGTAGCAGCCTGAGCATTTATGTCTAATAGCCTTATTTGCTTTGCTTCCTTTAACACAGGGTGCACAAAACACAGGAACTCTCCCTCAGGGCACAAGTCCTCCAAAGCCTCCAAGGGCTCATGAATTAAAATTGCTTGTGAAAAACATCAAAGCTACACTGACCCATGGAAGTACTGAAGGTAATATAGTTTATTTTACCTCCATTCTGCAATAAGAAAGCACATTCTGAAAAAAAAATGCAAGTAGTCAATAACAATACCCCATAAAATCAGAATGTTTTGGAATCTGTCTTTGTAAATCTCCTGGTTTGCTTGGCTGGTGTTTGCTTCTATTCCTAATCTTCTCTTAAGCATTAGGGTTCTCTGTGTGGTGTGGGGAATCGTATAAGGAGGCACATTTTATGACAGATTCTCACAGGGAAAATTATTTCTTCTTTTTTTGCCATGCAATACGGGTCACGGAGTGCATCCTTTTTGGAAAGATTTTTTGGAACCTTAGTAAAATTAAAATTTTCAAAGTTCTTATCACTATGGAAGAATACACTTGCTGTGCATCCCCACCTCCTTGCTCATTATGTTTATGTATCTCCTCTTCTCTAGTGAGGAGAAGTAGGGCTCTCCTCTGCCCTACTTTGTCCTACCAACAATACCATGAGGGTCAGCTAGACTGAGAGAGTATGACTGGCCCAAAGCCAGTCAGTGCATTTCAAAGCTGAGAGGGGATTTGAATGCAGATGTCCTGAATCTGTGGCCCAGTTTTCACTGGAAAGCACCCAGGAGAGGTGTAGTTTTTATGGGCAGAATGTATTGTTGCATGTCTGCAGTATCTCTCCTTCCATCTGTCTAAGAGGCTTTCCAAGCTTTAATACATAGAGGTATCAGAGGTACACAATTATTATTATTAACAGAGTGTTGGTTCCCAATGAAAGGAAGGAGAATAACATTTTAATTATGAGCCAACTCGTTCTTCTTAATATGAATTTATTGGATTGAGAGAGGAGGAATCAGGCCCAATCTCATTTCTTCCCGCAGCAGGTATAATAATGGCATATTTTCACCTCCATTCTTATTACCCAAACACCCATGCTGAAGTTGCTTCTTAGCTGGCATCTGTGAAGAGGCAGCAACAAATACCAACTGCAGACCTGTCACTGAGTCTTTGCTGGCAGAGTCCAGTGCGGATTTTTACGAATACTTGCCAAGTTTAATTTTGTTATGTTTGTGCATCCCACTGGGGTTTGTGAGGTTTAAGAGGAACCACAAAACACATGTAGAGCTTCATTAGTGATGAAAACTGAGTGTGTAAGACATGCTTCTCCCTATTATTAGGGTAGCTGGACACACAGTCTCAAGCACAGCCTGCAAATCTGAGGAAATCAGAAAGCAAGGGTGGTCATAGTAACTGTGTGTCATAATCCCTGCAGTATGCCTTTGAAGAACTGGTTTGAGAACTTGTCCATCAGGTTTCATAAGCCTTTACAAGCCCATGCTTGCACACTTCCTTAACTTCAGGGCAGGCAAACATTAAGAGTAAGAGCTCATTATGTAAATTAGAGACTTCTACTTGCATTTATTGCATATTATTTGTGCTTTTTTTTACCCCTACGTTCTAAATGTTGGTCCACTCTTGGAACAGCATACCCTTCAAGTTTTCACTTGAATTTTGATTTGGCCACGTTGTTCCCAGTTCAGATCTGTGTGGATGCTTAATAAGAACTTTGTGTTTCTAAAGTAGTTCTGAAGCAATGCACTGTTTTTTCTCCCAACTTACATTTCTAAATGAATATCTAGTTATTAAAAGCCTGACCAAAACATCAATTAAAAAGATGCTTTTATTTTGAAGGTTTTCTGTATTTTTCAGTTTTTGTTCACACAGCGCATCTCTCTATCTATAAAACAGTTTCTACATGCCCTTCTCATAGGGACTTGCATGTGCCCTGAGTTCTTAAATTAATTTGTCACTTTCCTTCTGTTTTGTTACCATGTAGATTCTCAACTTACTGTTTACTATGTTGGTACACATTATTCTCCCTAAAAAATACTCCCAAGCTGAACAATTTGGAAGAGTATTAGAAATTTCTTGCCAACAGTCTACTTAATAGCCAGAATCCTATCGCAAAATATCTCTGTGAGAAATTTATACAATTTGTTTCCAGCCATCTGTTGTGCACCTAGGCTTGTAATCAAATGTGTGTCCTTATTACATACAGGCATATGACAGACATCTGGAATTATTGCACACATCAGTTCAACCAACTTGGGTATATACTGCAGAAACCCAAGCAGATTCTGGCTAGTGTGTGGAACCTCAAATCAATGCTTACATTATACTAATTTTCTGTGTTACATTCTTTACAGGAAGTGTGAAGCCATTATGTATCCTTCAGCTCAACGAGCCTTTGCAAAGGTTTTCCACCTCTGTAGCCAATGATCCTATGGAGCTCTCTTGGAAAGATGAGTTCCTCTTGTAAGTAACTATTTTAGGGCCATTCTTACAAGCATTTTTCCCATCTTCTTGCATCTATTCTATTATACATACATTCTCTTATCCATGAAATGTCTTATCAGGGATGATGGTGCAGAATCCTATTTGCTTAGCATTCATACTTGGCGAGATTGACAGTTCCTAAATATTGTCTCTCTGTGTGTGTGTCTGTGTGTGCTGTGTGCTCTCTCTCTCTCTCTCTCTCTCTCTCTCTGTGTGTGTGTGTGTGTGTGTGTGTTCTGTGCTCTCAAGTCAGAACCGTATAACAATCCTAATAGAGTTTTCAAGGTAAGTGAGATATTTAAGGAATGGTTTTACCAATTCCACTCACCTAGTGCATTTTCATGACTGAACGGGGATTTGAACTCTATTTTCCAGAGTCCTAGTCCAGCACTCTGTCCACTGAATCTAGCATAGGGAAAGAAATTCTCATTTCCAGGTGATGTTTTCTTTAGCACAAAAAAGAATACTCTGGTAGGATACAGGAAAAGCTAGGCTGTAAATGTTCCGAGAATGGAGTCCTAGAAGATGCTATTTCTAAGACTTGCATATCATAGCTAGACATGGACCACGGACTGCAGTTTGGCAGATTGAGCCCACAGGTGTTTCATGGACACCGTGGATCCCTGGCCGTGCCTCTTCCTGCAGGTGCCCACTCAGAAGAGGATGCAGGGCAGAGAAATCTGGGATGCTGCCTCTGAGTGGGTTCCTGTGGAAGGAGATAGGCTCAGGAATCCAAGGCTCCCACACAACACTGTGGGCCCGATCCTCCAAATGGCACCAAGGTGCCAAAGCACAGTCCATGCCCATCTCTAATTGTCTATATACTGGGAAAGTACCTGGGTGATAAGAAAATGCTGTTCTTCCAGAAGAAGGCACCCTTATAGCTCACGTTTTGCAGTGTCTGTTACATTAAAGGCTGCCGCTGATATGTAGGAAACAATGATAGGACAGGGCATCCACTTTTTTCCTTCACCTCTGCACCATTTTGTGAACTGTTGTACATTTCCTCATATCTTCCTGGATTATTATAACTGTGCAAGTTAGATAAAATTGGATGTCCTGAAGAGTCTCTACACCCTATTGAACAGGTATATGCAGGCAGATATAAATGGGTATTTGGTTGTATATACAGTGAATGTTCAAAAATGGATCCAAAATCTAATACAATAGTGTAAGAATATGAATACTTAATGGACTAAATAAAAATATAAGTAACTTTCAAAACTTATAATACTCTAATAAAATTAATAGCGTGCTTGAAAATGAAATGATAAAATTGTAGCTCAAAGGGTTGTGAATAAAAGAATAAGAAATGTCACAAAGACTTATTCTCTAAGTTATCAAGGCTTACCTTCCAATTAAGTCACATCTATGAAAAATAGCTTAACTAGTTTATATAAGTTAAAACTATACTAGAGCATAAGCAGTTATGAAATACATCATAAATCCTTACCCTCCACCCCAGCAGAGTTTTCTCCCCTCTAATGGTGTTCTCCTGGTGTCTTTTGCTCCTTGCCTTGGCTGTCTTTCCTGGCAAGTATTTATCTGCTTATTTGTCCTTGCCATTATTTTGTTTTTTTCATTGTTTTGACTGTCAGTTTTGCAGGCTAAAGAGCAGTCATTCCCAACCTTGGGTACTCAGATTTTCCTGGACTACAATTCCCAGAAATCCAGGCCAGCACAGCTAGTGGTGAAGGCTTCTGGGAGTTTTAGTCCAAGAACATATGGGGACCCAGTTTGAGAACCATTGCTCTAGAACAGCCATTCCCAACAGGGGGCCGGAGACTGGAAACAGTTCTTTACACAAAACCTTATAAGGTTCTTATACAATCCTGATTCAGTCTATATTTCTTTCATATTGTGTTTATGGCTGTGGCCAAAAAAAGGTTGAGATAATCCAGAATGAAACACAAGATACTGCTGGAAGATGAGATTCCTAAGTCAGAAGATAACCAACTAGAGGGAAACATCAGAGGATATGTCTGAGTAGCTCTGTTGCTAACAAAGCAACTGGATTAAATCCAAAAGGAGGACCAGAAGAAGGGAGCTGTTTTTTGTCTGTTTTGTTGAGAACCTTACTCTTTTGGGGATACTCTGGCAAGGCCTCCCCCTCCTATTCCTCCCTGCTCCACTAAGCAGACTGCTGATGGTGGGGAAAACGACTGCTGCAGTGGGCTTTCAGATTAAACCAAGGGGGGCAGGTTGTTCACCCATGACCTGTGTTTAAATTGGCAGAACCAGGGAGGGCTAACAATTAAAAACCTGGGTTCCTGGGAGAGAACAGAATCACGGCTTTGTGAGTAATTAAACTATACAGAGGGAAGAACACATTGTTCATTACAATTTTCTAATAGTCTATTACTCTTTTCTGTGTAATTCTGTACTTATCTATTCAGAAATAAATCCCATTTAGTTTCGTGGGGCTTACTCTGTGCTTACCACTTTCATGGATTGCTGTTTTGTCATGGTGAAGGAGCTTGAGTAAATCAGAGAATCTGTGGGCTATGCCGTGCAGGGACACCCAAGAGGGACAGGTCATAGTGGAGAGTTCTGACTAAACGCGATCCACCCGGAGCAGGAACTGGCAAGTCACTCCAATAACTTTGCCAAGAAAAATCCATGGACAGAAACAACAGGCTAAAAGATATGACGCTGGGAGATAAGCCCCTCAGGTCGGAAAGCTTCCAACATGCTACTGAGGAAGAGTGGAGGACAAGTACAAGTAGCTCCAGCTGAAAGGATGCTCAGCTGTGGACGCGCCTGGAAGTGAAAGGGAAGTCCGATGCTGCAAAGAAAAATACTGCATAGGAACCTGGAATGTAAGATCTGTGAACCTTGGGAAGCTGGAGGTGGTCAAACAGGAGATGGCAAGAATAAACATCGACATCCTGGGCATCAGTGAACTAAAATGGATGGGAATGGGTGAATTAAATTCAGACGATTATCATATCTACTATTGTGGGCAAGAATCCCGTAGAAGAAATGGAGTAGCCCTCATAGTCAACAAAAGAGTGGGAAAAGCTGTACTGGGATACAGTCTCAAAAATGATAGAATGATTTCAATACAAATCCAAGGCGGAAAGTCTGATGCTGCAATGGCTAATAGAGTTTTGTCAAGAGAACAGGCTGGTCATCACAAACACACTTTTCCAACAACACAAGAGGCGACTCTACACAAGAAAATCACCAGTTGGGCAATACCGAAATCAGATTGATTATGTTCTCAGCAGCCAAAGATGGAGAAGCTCTATACAGTCAGCAAAAACAAGACCTGGAGCTGATTGTGGCTCTGATCATCAGCTTCTTATAGCAAAATTCAAGCTTAAACTGAAGAAAGTAGGAAAAACCACTGGGCTAGTCAGGTATACTCTAAAACAAATCCCTTATGAATACACAGTGGAAGTGAAGAACAGATTTAAGGAACTAGATCTGATGGACAGGGTGCCTGAAGAACTTTGTATGGAGGCTTGTAACATACAGAGCCTCCATCATAGTACATGAATTATTCTGTATGTCCAACAACTGTACAGAGGCAGCAACAAAAACCATTCCAAAGAAAAGGAAATGGAAAATGGCTGTCCAATGAGGCCTTACAAATAGCAGAGAAGAGAAGGGAAACAACATGCAAGAGAGATAGAGAAAGTTTCAGAAAACTGAATGCTGACTATGGCATTTAGGCCCATGGCCCCCTCTTGTTTCACCAAACACAGAGCTCACGAAGGTATGTCAACACACCCTTTAACACTCTGCCACCAGTTGATCTCTTTATCAGCTTATATTTCCTATGAAAGATTGAGGTCCATTCAGTACTGAACCTTTAAACAGAAACAGGTTTACTGATTACAAGTTGTTTCAGGAATAATTATTAAGTACATTCTTAAAGTTACACAAAGCTGCTAATTTTTACTATAACCTCTTTTATCTTAATACAGGTCGCACTCTGACTAATCACTACTTAAACACTCTGCTTCAAACCCCCAAAACTTTCTTCTCTTCTCTGTCTCTGACTGAACACACTAGACTCTGACTCACCCCTCGCTTCTAATTTCTCTGGCTCTGCCTCCCAACAATAATAGAAAGGGAAAATAGAAAGGGAAAAACTAGAGATCTGTTCAAGATAATTGGAGATATTAAAGGAACATTTTGTGCAAAGATGGACATGATAAAGGACAAAAATGGTAGGGACCTCACAGAAGCAGAAGACATCAAGAAGAGGTGGCAAGAATACACAGAGGAATTATACCAGAAAGATCTGGATGTCCCAGACAACCCAGATAGTGTGGTTGCTGACCTTGAGCAAGATATCCTGGAAAGTGAAGTCAAGTGGGCCTTAGAAAGCTTGGCTAACAACAAGGCCAGTGTAGGTGATGGCATTCCAGTTGAACTATTTAAAATCTTAAAAGATGATGCTGTTAAGGTGCTACACTCAATATGCCAGCAAGTTTGGAAAACTCAGCAGTGGCCAGGGGACTGGAAAAAATCAGTACATCCCAATCCCAAAGAAGGGCAGTGCCAAAGAATGCTCCAACTACCATACAATTGCATTCATTTCACACGCTAACAAGGTTATGCTCAAAATCCTACAAAGTAGGCTTCAGGAGTATGTGGACCAAGAACTGATGCTTTTGAATTGTGGTGCTGGAGGAGACTCTTGAGAGAGAGAACAAACCTATCCATTCTTAAGGAAATCAACCCTGAGTGCTCACTGGAAGGACAGCTCCTGAAGCTGAGGCTCCAGTACTTTGGCCATCTTATGAGAAGAGAAGACTCCCTGGAAAAGACCCTGATGTTGGGAAAGTATGAAGGCAAGAGGAGAAGGGGACCACAGAGGACGAGATGCTTGGACAGTGTCACCAAAGCGACCAACATAACTTTGACCCAACTCCGGGAGGCAGTGGAAGATGGGGGCCTGGCATAATTTGGTCCATGGGGTCATAAAGAGTAGGACATGACTTAACGACTAAACAGCAAAACAACAACATCTCTGAAATAAGTAGATACAGGATTGTACCTCAACTTTTTTTGAAAGAGCGATTAAACAGAAAGTTGCCTATGCCTTCTTTGTATCATGAGACGCAATCCAAAATGGTATGCAGGTACAATATTACTAAATACCAAACAGTGTTCTTATACAATATATTTATCAGAATTTGAGAAGCTTGGTTACTTTTTGTCTAGCAACTATGCAGTTGCTGTTTTCGTGTTACCTCTCTTTTTTGGCAGTGCTTTTGTGCCTATCAGCTGCAATAAAAAATTCAGTATGTGAAACTTTTGCTAGTACCGTATGTTCACAGACTGCATTTAATAGCCTGTTTTGTAAAATGTGGAACTATATGCTTTGTGTATTTTCCTAAAATGGGTTTTATTTATTCATAGTGAATTAAATGCCAAATCAAAAGATCTTCAAGTGAAGATTGCAGAAAATGGAGAATTGGATAGTAAGTATTGCAAATAGTTCACTTTGTTTGACTTTTTGATTTTATTTTATTTTAAAAGACAGTAATAAGGCACTGATTGTGAATTATAACAGAGTGGCGAACTAATATTTACTGATTAGGTCAGCAATAGAGATTAGTCTGATTTCACAATTTCTGGGAGGTACTAAGTAGATAGTCCCTAAAACAGCTCAGCCATATCAACCTTCAGTATTTTGGCAGAATAATATGATTTTGTAATCTTTTAATTTTTGTAATGAGTTTTTACTGTACAAAAGTTTTAAAGTCTAAATTATTTTTCACTGAAGAACTGGACCCAATCATCTTCTCTTTGGCATGGCTAGTAGTAGTCATGGAGAGAGCTTGTAAAAGTTACATGTTTGACTATAGCTTTCAAAATACTCCAGCTAGCATTGTCACTAGCTTGACTATGGGATTCTGAGAGCTGTAGTCAAAAATAATTTCCCACCTGTAGTCATGATTTTCCCATTTCATGCTGTTAGATCAACCTATTATGCTCTTGAGGGAACCTTTAATTTGGTAACCTTGACTTATCATCTGTATGATATAGGGCATTTTGTGTAGGTGAAATGCTGCTGAGAAGGAAAGGACAGAAATCTAAATTGTGAGAAAAATCAGTCTACTACTTTTGTACTTCATCCACACATACGTGGGGACATCACAAGAGCTGAATACTGTAGTATTTGTATTTGCACTCATCCTTTATTAAGTTTCTCTGTGTGTTTTGTTCTTAAAAGAGAAGGTGAAGTTAAAGCTGTAAATAAAAGTATTTGGTCAGACTCTGTTCCAGACAAATCTCCCCATGTTAAAAATTTGCAATTATTTTTTCTAGGTAGAAACAGTAAAGAATCTTGCAGCACCTTTTTGGAGGGGAATCATACATTTTATAAACTTTAGCCCACTTTTTTTTGTTTAAATGAATATGAAGAAGTGGACTCACATCCAAGAAAACTTGTGGCAATTAATATTTGTTAATTTTTAAGGAGCCAGAAGGCTATTTGTTTTTGCTGTAAAAGTAGATAGTCTTCTGAATATATTTTTTAAAAAATCCAAGAAACTGAAAAGAATCTGAGAATTAGAGTGTTTTTGTGAGGGTCAGGAACTTGGAAATCCTTTTTACTCTGCAAACCTTTTCCTCCTCCCTTGCTTTATTATAACATAATTATAGCTATCAATTTGAAATAACCCAGAGGCTTTGAACTAGAACTAACTCTAAAAATAACCCTTAGTATGGAGTACTCAAACTACATTGAATGCACTGCTTTTATTTTATACAGGTGGCTTCTCAGCATTTGCTACTGTACCTTTGGATTTGTTCAGGAAACAGCCTTCAGGACACAGAAGTTTTGCACTGAACAACCAGTGCAGCAGTAATAGCTCTACAGTAGGATCTGTCTTTGCAGAGGTAACTTTTTTAAAAAGTTAATAGCTAGATTTCTCTTCCCCCCCCACACACAATTTTCTCTCCCATATACATACAAACAAATCTGCACCAAACAATTTTTTCCATAAACATATATGCCAATACGAAGTAGAAGGTTTGCCATTAATGGCTGAAATCCAATTGGTGCAAGTACATAGGCATAGATGGAAGTCATGTCATCATAAACTGTGATGTTTGGTGGTCTCAGTCGTGATGATGGCAATCTGGTGGTGATTTTCTGATATTAAAAGCTCCTCCCCATCCCAAGGCTTGGGAGCCTCAAAACTAACATCACAGACTGACAACACCATCACAATTTTACAACTGCATAGTTATTCAACAGAATTTTAGCTAACTAAAGATAAATGTGTTAATTCGGCAGTAGGCTAATTTTAAAGTAAGATGTAACAGTGAATGTTATTTTGAAAAGTAACTAGTGGCAGCTAACACGTTATTTTCAAAAATCAGTAAGTAATGCCTAATACATTCCTTTTTTAAAAAAAAAAATCTTCACTGTGTAAAGTAGGCCTGAGAGTATCACTACTGTTTCTTGTAGGATGTGTACATAATTTCAGAAATAGTTGATGAGATCGTATACAAGTTTTGTTAATGCTGACCTCTCTTTTCAGTTTTCTTGTGAAGGCCAGAAAATGGCATCCAGCAACAGATTTCTTTTGAGCTGTTCTTGTCTGAACTTTTCAATCCTAAATCTTCTCTTTCTCCAGTACACATACATAGAACCTTCAGAGTCTAGATCCTTACAAGCTTCAGCCAAGTTTCCTGTTGCAAAAGTAGAAAAAGATCGTACTGTGATGCCCTGTGGGACTGTGGTCACCACTGTCACGGCTGTGAAGGCAAAACCTTTGTTAGAAGGGAGATCATCTTTTCTACATTCAGGTAAAAAGAAGAAGAAGAAGAAAACTCTGAATTACTCTTTATGCTTGACTCTGTTTAATGTTTGGCTCATTTAAGTTTGGTGGCTTTGCACAAGGCCAAATCCTGTGCCAGAATAATCTTGTGGCTGCTGTAACTAGCTTTAGAACTGCTTCATTGTAGTTTCAAAAATAAACACCCTGTTCATCTACCTGTGGATACATGCTTTTAAAATATTTTGATTATTAACCTGTGTGCATAGGGAAATAGTATTTCAGTGTTAGTTGTATTATTAGCAAAGGAAGGAAGCTTTTATCGTATTCTTTCTGTGAGAGGCATGGGGAGGGGCAGGAATTAAAGCTGGGCTTTATTTTCTCTTCCCACTGCCCTCCTGATCTGTTCCACAAAATCCCCATATTCTTTCTGTGAGAGGCATGGGGAGGGGGCAGGAATTAAAGCTGGGCTGTATTTTCTCTTCCCACTGCTCTCCTGACCTGTTCCACAAAATACCCAATCCTCTAGAGTAGATTTCGGTTCTTAACCTTGGGTTACTCAGGAGTTTTGGACTGCAACTCCCAGAAGCCTTCACCACCAACTGTGCTGGCTGGGGTTTCTGGGAGTTGCAGTTCAAAAACATCCGAGTAGCAAAGGTTAAGAACCATTGCTCTAGAGTAGATTTATGAAGGTGCACAGAAGGCAGGAGAATTGCACCACACCTTCAGTTCCTCTGGTGGAAGGAGTTTTTTTTCTGTGGGAAAACTGCATTCTACCCACTGGGGAGCTGCTGAAGGGAGAATTTTCAAAAGGTTTAATTTCGTGTGTGTGTGTCCTTAACAATGTTTGACAAACATTGTTTACATAAATGGGGATTTTTGTTTCATTCTGTTACAAGAGGTGCATTGTGAGCACTGGTTAGTGAATAATGAACTAAAAAGTCCAACTACATATAACCGTGACAAAAACAAATGACAGCCTGTCATCAGGATGCATGGAATCACAGAGGCTTCATCTGCATGATATGTTCTTTGCCAGGGTGTGTCTGTCAGTTCTGTTGTAGAATTGCCAGGCAAGCAAAAGGAGGGGGGGTTGTAGCATGTGGTAATTAGAGAGCCATCTGTTTGCTTCAATCTTGAGACTGTATCGAAGAATAGATATGCACCCACAGCAATGATTATATCTTTAAGTAAAATCATATTGGCAGAAACAGATTATAACTGTTACAAATTAGGATAAATAAGTTTATTTATTTATTTATTTATCCATCCATTCATCCATCCATCCATTGATTGATAGATTGATTGATTTCGGAGGGCATTCCATAGTCTGGGGGCAGCTGCCGAAAAGGCCCCTTCTCTACAAGCCTTCCCTCTTATCTCCTTAAGGGACGGCTCTTTCATAAGGGCCCCCTGGCTAGATCTTAACTTCCGGGTAGGCTCGTATGGAAGGAGGTGGTCCTTCAGGTATCGAGGGCCCAAGCCGTTTAGGGCTTTATATGTCAAAACAAGCACTTTGAATTGGGCCCGGGTAGCAACTGGTAGCCAATGTAACTTAAACAGAATTGGCTTGATGTGTCCCCTAGCGGCCCCACCACTCACCAGCCACGCAGCTCGATTCTGGACCAGTTGTAGTTGCCAGACCGTCTTCAAAGGCAGCCCCACATAGAGCACATTGCAGTAATCTATGTGAGATGTTACCAGTGCGTTTGTAGCTGTCTTGAGATTCCGCTTGTCCAGGGAGGGTCGTAGCTGGTATAATTTCCGCAGCTGAAGGAAGGCGCCTCTGGCCACCGAGTCTACCTGGGCCTCCAGTGTTAGACATGGGTCCAGGAGCAGCCCCAGGCTGCAGACCCTGCCCCTTAGGGGGAGTGTAACCCCATTCAGGGCAGGGAAATGGACCTCCAACCTGTCCCACTAACAGCACTTCCATCTTGTCTGGATTGAGTTTCAATTTATTAACCTTTATCCAGTCCATTATCAGGTCCAGACATGAGTTCAGCACAAAAAATCTGTTTCAAATCTCTTCCATTGCTTTAGTATATGAGTGGGAATGTCTGACAGGCATGATTTTAAAAATGTATGGTACAAAAAAAACATATGTACTGTACAGTTCACTTTCAAGATAAAAGTAACAATGTGAATTCTGCACAAGGAGCAAAAATTCTAAACAGTAATTGTCTCTTTTAATTACAATAAAATACCTGTGTAAAAAAGTGCCAAGATACCTGGTTGTAGACTTCTCAAATTTGTAGAGAATGTCTATATTCATGAACTATGAAGCAGGAACTGCAGAGACAGATCTTGAGGTGAAACGCAAATAATGTTATTTGCTGACCTATAAACCAGTGGAAGCTGATTACTGTCATGGTGGAGGGAGGAACCTGTGAATCTGTGCTGGGCTTTAGTCTGCACTAAAGTCTGATATGCCCAAGGTACCAGGGATAAGATTCAGCATTCAAGATTCTAGGAATAGGATTCAGCATCCTGGAAGTGCATACTGAAACCCAGACTGGATTCGTAATCTCCACCCTGAAATTGGACTCAGCAGCTGCCATGGATTTTGGCCTTTTCACTATGGTATCTTTCTCTATCCTCCTTCCCCACCAAAGCTACAGTATTGGGTAAAGGGTTTTGATCACAAGAATGGTTTGGGAAGAAGGTTAAACACTCTTGTCTTGGGTGTCTTTTAGCTGCTTTTCAGCCTTTTAAAAAGCTGTCAGTGATTACTGTGCACCTTTTATGCACAATTTATAGTCTCCCTTTTTTCTTCTTACAGAACATTGATGTCTTGGTGTTTATTAAGGAACATAGTTTTGAAATAGATAAATGGAAGAATAACTGAGATATTATTTCACATATTAGGTTCACCAGGGCGAAGTCCTGTTAAAATAAAGGTCATTGAAAAGGATCTGTCAGTTCAAGCAATCCACTGTCGAAATGCTTCAGTAAACAGGGCTTTATCTTCTTCAGATACAGGTAACAGTTAATTTAATTTTGTTTTGTGGTGCATAGTGTAAAATGAAGTCACCGAAAGTCTTCAGATGGCTGTACCATAATAAGCATGTGGCAAGCAAGCATTTATCTTGCTTATGGATAGCTGTTGGAAACTGTTCAGGTGGTTGCATATGTAGTGAAGGGTCTAAATATCCATGTGATGACATGTTATGAAGGGCTTGGAAAACAAAAGGAAGAAAACTTCTTTCTGCGTGTAGCAGCTTTTTCTAGTCAACATTTCTCTCCTTTATAAGGTAGTGCAAAATGTAATAGGTGGGTTGCTAAATGATGCACAGTGATGAAATCATGGGTTTTGGGCAGGGGGGTCTGGCAAGAAAGAGGCATATGATTAATGGTTTTATTGTTTAAATTCTTTCAGTGTTTTAATGTCTGTTTTATGTCTGTTACATAGCTAGGTATCCTGAGTGCTGTGTTCTAACATGTTCTAAAGGGGAATATAAGTAACACCCAGAGCAAATGGCAGTATTATGAACAATAATACTTAAAAACAAGATGTATTTGATTTAAATCAAATGTTCGATCACAATTTCAATCACAATTTAAATTTTAAAAATCAGGGTTTTTTGAATTTTCAGAATTTAAGAAGCAAAACATGCTGCTTATAGACCACCCCATAGCACTTAAACCACTCTCTGAGTGGTTTACAGTTTAATTATGCGGGCTACATATTGTTCCCTCCTCTAGCAAGCTGGGTACTCATGCTGGGCAGGATGGGAGGCTGACTGAACCTTGGGCTGGCTACCTGGGATTTAACCCGGGTTGTGAGCAGAGTTTTGGCTGTAGCAGTGCAGATTGAAATTGTTATTCAGATGTGAGTAGTGGCAGTATTGTAGATATGAGATATTCTCTTGCAAAAAAAACTGCAGAGCAATGGCCCAACTAATTGAGTTAGCATAAAAGTTACTGTATTGTGATTTATATAAATACTTTGTACTTGTACTGAAATATTTAGTATATTTAGTTATGACTCTTTATTGGGTCCTGAGCTGTTGCTTGCATCTTGTCATTCTCTTAAGCATATTATTTTCAGAATTACTGGTATTGAATGGCACAGATCCTGTGGCTGAGGTAGCTATTCACCAGCTAAGTGAATCTGCAAAGCAAAAACTGAAGTCTCCCAGAAAGAAAAGCACGATCATAATATCAGGGGTATCAAAGGTAAAATCAATGAACATGATCCACAGAGCACTTTTCCTTCGATGTTTTATAGATATGTTTAACATTTTTCAACTTTGTAGAATTTATAAAAAATTTTTACATTAGATCATAGCTCAGCATTTTAATTTTTTTATTTTGGTTGGAAAACATTAATTTCTTTCATTTTGATCGTTAGAAGCATCAGAAATTTCACAAAGTCTGTTGCTGATGTTTTTTCCTATAAAGCAGTAAAAATTTAGAGGCTAGTCATCCATATCTGGGCTACAATCGAAATAAAAATTAGAATCTCCAATTGAGGCAGTAGGGATGATTTTTTTCACAAAATGTAAAGAAAAAATGCTGTATCAGCTACATTTTCAACTTTCTCAATTAAAGCTTAACTTCATGCGTCCTTGATACTTCTGCTAATCATTTTATTGGAATCTATGTCATAATGTAGAGAACGTCATGGTAGCCATGAATTTTCTAATGGTTGCTGATTGCACAGCTTTGATATTTTGATGTTGGCCAACAGAATTAAGCAGTCAGCATTAAGATTATATTCAAACAGACCAGCTTCTGTGAAGGAAGTGATAGTTTGGCTGGGGAGAGTTTTTATAGGTGCAGCAATATGGGCAGGGATGAGACAGCTAAGTGGGAACAGATCCTAAGAGGCACTGAAAAATAAATGGGATGTGGTGGCGCTGCGGGCTAAACCACAGAAGCCTGTGCTGCAGGGCCAGAAGACCAAGCAGTCGTAAGATCGAATCCACGCAATGGAGTGAGCGCCCGTCGCTTGTCCCAGCTCCCACCAACCTAGCGGTTCGAAAGCATGCAAATGCAAGTAGATAAATAGGGACCACCTCAGTGGGAAGGTAACAGCGTTCCGTGTCTAAGTCGCCCTGGCCATGTGACCACGGAAGATTGTCTTCGGACAAACACTGGCTCTATGGCTTGGAAACGGGGATGAGTACAGCCCCGTAGAGTTGAACACAACTGGACAAAAATTGTCAAGGGGAACCTTTACCTTACAAAGAACCCCAGACCATCTTTGCAGTGATGGGCTCAGTGGGGTGAAGAAAAAGAAATGATTATAGGACCCGTGAAAGGAAACAAATATTTGAGGAAGGAAAGGACAAATAGAAAAAAGAAGAGATGTGGGGAAACCCTAGTGGGCTCAAGGCTGAGGACTAGTAGAAGTTTGGGTTCCTGTTGGAGTTCGTAAGGGAGAGTAACTAGCAGATTGAAGGTCAGGACATGAGCTAATATGACAAATGCTGCAGGCATGGAGGTGAAGGAAGGAGCCAAGTAGGAAGTACAACTGGAGCAAAAGCTCAGATAGGCTTTAGGACAGGAGGCATCATGTGCTGTCAGTAGGAAAGGACAGGCAAAGGATCAAAGCTCCAAGAGCTCTGGGTTTTTTGTTATGGTTATCTGTTGTCTTGTAGCAATACTATAAGACAACACTATAAAGCCACCCACCACCACACCCTACCACCCCCTTCTTCTCCCTATTTTAGCCCCCACCCTACCCCCTTACCTTAATCGCCGCTGCTAAGGTCTTCATCTGACCTCCCAGCCACAGCATGTAAAAAGGGAGATTGGTTGCTCTTTGCAAAGATGGCAGCTGTGGCTTCATTTAGGGTAGGGAAGCTGAAGCTGCCATCTTTGCAAAGGGCAGCCTGGATTCCCTTTAAAACCCCACATACACACGCACACAAATCGACGAATATCGGATTCCCTTTAAAACCCCACATACACACACACACACACAAATCGACGAATATCTTTGTTACTCATCGCTTCATGGGGGCAACTTTGTGCTTCATGAGTCATCAACTTTTGACAACTCACGAAGCAGGACAACTCGCCAAAATGCTGAGTCGTCCCCATATTTACTTCTGAATTTTACATTCACATTTTGCAATCTGTGGCTGTTCCTATTATTTCAGCCCATTGACGAAAGAGTGTAACACTTGTGCTTCTCAAACACCCTAAGAAAACAGGGAAACCCACATCCATAATGAAGAAAAACAAAAAAATGTGACGGGGAATCTTCTGTTTAAAAGAGAGAAGGATGTAAAGCCTTGCAAGAGTCTGGGCATAAGTAGTTCTTCCTAGCCATTATTCTTAACTACGTAAATCTTAGATGTCTGAAACTGTTTTCATTGTTCCAGACTAATTTATCTCAGGATAGTGAAGCTGCGCTTATGATGGACTATGCAGCAGCCATGGATGGCTCAAGTAAACAAGCTGATGCTTCCAGTGTGGAAGGCAATCTCACACAGTCCCCTTCTGATGAAAATGTTTTACTGTCTGCATCCCAAACACTACCTGTCCACGAAGACCCCCAGGAAAACAGCCATGATGCTTGGACCTTAGATGACACTAGCCAGCAATGGGACAGCAGTGTGCTGCTGGACCAAGACTGTGATAAAATGTCTGGGAGCTCCGTGAGCATCTCGGAATCTGGAGCTGTGAAGAAATCCAAAGGTATAGTATATTGCTTTTCAGCTTTTGCATATAAGAATATGACTACACTTGATTTGATTCACAGCCAATATTTCATTTGAAATCAGTCAGTACTCATACAGGGACTGCAGACTGATTCAGGGGTTCATCATCCATACTGAATGCCATGTGATTTGCATTTCAGACCAAATCACCCTTCCTTCCTTACCATCCTCCCTCCCTCTGGTCTTGCCTCTTGTCAATCCTTTTATGGGGAATAAATACAGGAAATAATTATGAGACCTAGTGATTAGCCGCCTAGAGTGGTCGTATTGACCAGATAGGCGAGGTACAAATAGAATAAATAAATAAATACGGTGATCTAGCACTAATATCATAGATGTGAGAAATTAAAAAATTCACAGGACAATCAGTCCTCTTGTCATCCCAAACTGCTTACGTCACTAAAACACCACCTACAGACAGCCCCCTCCATCTGTCTGTAGGTGGTGTTTTAGTGGTGTAAGCAGTTTGGGCATGACAGGAGCCTACCACAATTAATCACATGGGGGGAGGGGGAAATGCAGAAATGGACCAGTAGGCACTGAAGCTATTAGTGAGATATATGTTCCCTGCAACTGGTCCTTGTTATGAAATGTCTTGCTGATTTCAAGAACAAATCTAAAGAAAAGCATCAGAGCTGTGTTCTGTTAAGTTTTTAAATGAGAGAGTAAAGAACATTATTAGTTCTTTTATAATGTTTAAACCATTGGGGCCACTTGTTCACTTTGGAGACCACTTGTTTAACTTTGGAGAGTGTAGGTGTAGGCCTCATGTTTCTAAACAGGCATCTGGGAAAGATGTACTAATTGAGAGCTCCTCTCACTAGAACAAAGGACTCTTGCTATATTTAAGTTGTTTCTTCCTCCCCAGATTACTCAGTGTTTTGCTTGTTTGAGGTGGGTAACTTTTTGCATGAAAGTTATCCTTGCATGAAGCACATTTAATCTGTTATCTCTGTTTCAGATCTTCTAAATACATGTACTGTTGTCTGATTCTGTTCTGATGAGAAACAAGTGCATGTTGTATTTCATTGAACCGCCTGAGTAGACTTAGGAAAACATCTCAAGCTTCAGCCCCTCTTCCTCATTATTTCGAGAAGCATTTTACAAGATGAAGCATTATAAGAGCTAAATCCAATTCTTAGTTCCAACTATAGGAAAACTGTTGAATTGGTGGGACTTTTCTAAGTACAATACTTGTACAAACCCTGGGGATTTAGTAGGTCTGCTCAGGCTGGCTTAACAGATGGATTGGGCTTTTAAGTGTTCAAACAGCTATATAAATACTTACTATTGGTAGTACATATATAAAATGCTCATGTTAACATTTTAAAAAATAAATACTGATTGCCTTCAAATATTTTTTGCTGAATAATTGAAAATGAAAATCTTTCACATCCTCACTGTTGTAGGTGGAATACTGAAAAAGAGTGCAAAGTTATTTTTCCTTCGACGGCACCATCAAAAAGACCCAGGAATGAGCCAATCACATAATGACCTCACCTACTTACAGCAACCTACATCTGATGGAACTCAAAGAAAGGGGGGGACCTTAACGCGCATTCTGAACAAGAAAATTATCTTTAAAAGCAAGAGCAAGAGCAAGCTCAACGGCACACCTGTCGAACCATATGCATAAAACTGTATGCCAAATTAAATGACCTGCACATGTTCAGTTGTTTACAGAAACATAAGACAGTAATGTGCTTAATGAGAGTCGCTAATGCTGTGGTGTATTGAAGAGACTGGATAAAAGAGCAAGGAGATGAAATTGGTGGGAGGATTACAGCAAGCTTAAATTGCCAAGAAAAAGACTTCAGTTCTGTCCCAACAACAAACAAAAACAAAAGTATTCTGGCACTGTTGACAGGCATTAACCCTGTTCAGACTTTCTAAGAAATGTGCTGGTTTATTTCAGGAGGCCTTGGTCTACAAAACATTACTCAAAAATCAGGTTTAAAATATTTTTTAATATGGAGTGAATAAAAGACCACCAAGGAGCTATACAGTGAACAACTGTCTGCATGAATGTATAATAGATGCATATAATGATTGCATTTTAAGAATATCATTATATGGTGAAGCTTAGCAACACACAATTTTTAAAAGGTGCTGAGCTGAAGGGGAACACAGCTGGGCAGAACAGGAAATCCTAATCCAGGTGATCTGAACTTGGAAATTGGCAATCCTGTGCATGCTTGCTAAGAAGTAATTCCTGCTGTGTAGAGTGGGGCTTACCCTTGGTAAGAGTGCACAAGACTGCAGGCTTAGAATATTTCTGGAGATGGAATTGACACAATGAATGGGTCATCCTGATGTAATAATTCTTCAATGTATAAATTAGATCTGCTTTTAGTAGATAGTAGCCATACAGATTGGTCACTTATCAGATTACTTATAAATCTAATTTTATACAGTACTTAGTGCATGTATCACAATGAACCCCCTGTTTGTTATGAGTTGACAGGCCCTTAAGAAATCCATGATCTAATTCCATGAGTACTCAACTTTGCCAATGCTGTTAACATACCTTTGGAAGCCTACAATATGTTAGACAAAGGTGCTCTGTCACAGCAGAACAAAGGATAACATACATAAAGCATGTGTAGTCTCTCAGATCTCCTCTCCCCCCCCNGTTCCATTTTGCAATGAAATGAGTTAAGGGATGTGTGTATTTAAGTTCTAAAGTTACTCCTTCTTGAAATTCCAAGAAGGGAAAAATGATGCTCACTGTTACCTTGCTATCAGGTAATGAGAACAAACATACATATCTCTTTAATTTACATATTATTATATATGCATTCTTTATTGAAGTTCAAAGCTTATGTATCTGACTTCATTGGGGACATGCTTTGAAATATGTGGCTTGGTTGTGGAATACAGAATCAAGCTTTCTCAGTTATTCAGGTGACTCTTGGTACCAATACTATTACTGCATTTTTTTTATCAGTAAAGGAAGAAATGTTATGGACAGAAATCATGATGCTCCAGGAATTTTTAATATAAGCTACAGTGATGGTATTTGTGGACATGGCCTTATAAAGCCTCGTATGCAAATGAAGGCTGTTGAAATGAAGCAAGCATTTGCAGTGCATACAGCAGATTCTAGCTTCTGTTACGAATGTCAGTTGTAGATTGATTGCTAGAGAGTTAACAGACATATGAAATGGTTCTTTTTATAATAAGCATTATGATTGGGATCCTAGACCTATTTCTTTGGAGAAAAGACTTGTCATCAGCAGACCAGCTTCCATGTTGATCACGGCTAGGGGGACTTGTAAGGTTCAAGATATTGTTGGATTGAAACTGCCTTCATCCCTAATCAGTGGAGGCAAGAGGTGAGAAGTTAACAGTCAAACAATATCTAAAAGGCTACACACTCCCCATCCCTAATACAAATAGATTTAGGACTGGGTTGCAAGAGTGGTATATTGTGAATTATCTTTTATTGTATAGCTTGATGGCGCATATGTGGGTTGAGATGCTAAACTAAAAAGAAAAGCAATTGCTGCTCTGTCTCTTACAAATACTTGATATTTAAAAACTATTTGAAAGTCTTAATGCTGTGTTATTGGATTTTAAAGGAAAAAAAAGATACCAAAGGTATACCGTGTGGTTTGTATGTCTTTTTAAAATTGACTTAATGCAACAACATGACACTGGGACAGAAATTATAATAACAATGTCTATTTCCAAAGCAAGAAAGCTTATAAGGCATAGGTTATTTTACAACAGCTAAAATAGCTAAAGTTATACTTTTTTTGACCCAGAGTTGCAAGTCATCAGAAACATCTGGTCACATTGCTTTGAAAGAAAAAGGTATTTTCAACAAGTACTATACATTTCAGGATCTTCTAAGCAAGGGTGGGTTTGCAGAGGCTTCAGGAAATTGCACCAAATTTCAGTTGGCAATACACAGGGCACTTTACACAAGGTGTAGAAATACTATTTGTATTACCTATTTTCAGATGTAAAGAATACCATCTGGTGCTTTGTTTCCTCTTTCCTGTCAAAAAACTTGGCTACATAATTGTTTCCAACACACAAACTATATAACTATTAATTAGTAGTCATTATTAAGTGCATAGTTTGCAGGGAATCCAAATGTTCTTCCAGGTTGTTTATATGGCAAGACAATTCCTTTTTTCCCCCCTTCATTCAAATGGCTCAAGGTTGACTCAGCCTTCTATCCTTCCGAGGTTGGTAAAATGAGTACCCAGCTTGCTGGGGTGGGGGCAATGTGTAGCCTGTATAATTAAAATTGTAAACCGCCCGGAGAGTGCTTGTAGCGCTATGGGGCGGTATATAAGTCCCCCCCCCCCAAAAAAGCAAGCTGCTGCTTTTAACTCTGTTCCTAGTCAATGCTTCCCTTGCTTCATGGTATTTGTGTAGAGCATGGCTGTCACATAGAACACTGTTCAGAAGTGTTTATGCTAACTTCATAATTTTTTTAATAGTAAACCATTTTGTGTATTTGTGCAAAGTCTTCTAAGTAAAGCTAGTGAATATGCTGTATCCTGCTTTTGATCCACAACAGCTCTTAGCAATAAGATAGAATGAAGTTGTATGCTACCACATTCTTTTTACTGTAGCCCCACAAGGGAGCTGCAAGACCATGCAGGAATACAAAGGAGTACAGTGGTGCCTCGCAAGATGAATTTAATTCGTTCCGTGGTTGTTGTCTTGTGAAAAATTCATCTTGCGAAATGCATTTTCCCATAGGAATGCATTGAAAGCTAATTAACGCATTCCTATGGGCAAAAAAAGTCAGAACAAAGTCAAATTTGGTTTACAAAGGGTTTATTAAGAGCTCTTTAAAGCCATACATATTGTGCAGATGATTTTAAAAAATTTCAATAAATAAACTTTAACTTTTTAAACATCATAGAAAAAAATTTAAAAATCAGCAAACATGAGGCAGGAACAAAAAAAAAAAAAAAACCCAGCCATTCGTCTTGCGAAGCACGGCCATAGGAACATTTGTCTTGCGAGTCATCAACCCCATTGCCAAAACCATTTGTCTTGCGAGTTTTTTGTCTTGCGAGGCACCACTGTATGTGATCCCAGCTTATTTTGAAAGATTGAATGGATAAACTGTACGAGGTATGATACAGTTGCAAAGCAGAATCCCAGAACCAAATTATGTTGATTTTGGTGGGAAGCCAACTAGCTGGTGTGGTCCCAGGTGAAGGCCGAAATCCTATTACTGGTGAGTACATTTTATTAAACTTAATGGTACTTCTCAGCTAAAATACACAGGACTATATCATTAGTCTTACCCGTAAACTAGATCCAGTATGAGGTTAGCAGAAGAAATGCAGAAGTACTGCTTGAAATCATGTTGGCTAACATACATTAGAAAGCTACATGTACTAAAGTCAGGGAGGATTTAATAAGTCAGTTCTATAAGTTCCACTGAATTAAATTGGCCTACTCTAGTTGTGAACCCTAACCCAAGACCAAAGTACTGTAAGTCCTAATGAGAATATGCCTGTTGTAATAGGATTTCAGCTACTGTGCTGCATCGGTAATAGAAGAATAATTAGCACAATGAATCCTAATGAAACTTATAATTATGTTTGAAATTGGGCAACAGCTTGTGCAATAACTAAGGAAAATGTTTACACAAGGGGTTTTGGAAGCATATTTGGCACTTGTACAAAATTAAAAACTGTGTTTGCACAAGTGGTAGATGCTTTGTCCAGAACTCTGAATGCAAGTCTACATCTTATAAGAATTATAAAAATTGTGTACATTTAATGTTATCATTTATTTATATATTTGTACATATAACATAACAAAGAACAGACTGTGGCACCAGGCTCATTAAATCACATCATGAATGTAAAAAAGCAAACAAACCCAAAATTCTTAAAGCAAGCAGGAGAACTTTTGTATTGAGTGATGCCATGCTAAGACTGGTTTAAAAAACACTAATTCAGTGTGCAGCAATTCTATAAGGAGAGAGCAGCTTTCCTGCGTCTCTTGAAATAGGAGCAAAATAAGCAATGTCAGTGGAAAGATTCAGAATGCGAAATAGGCATGTAGCAGTTTCTTAGTACATTGGAAGTAAATAGAAAATACATTATTCCTTCTGCGCGTTGTTGTATCTGGTCAGTAACCTACTCAAACCTGCTAATGTCTGTAGGTGTAAAAAAAAAATATAGAAGTTCCCAATGGCCACCGTCTGACCTTGTGAGTCACAGACTGGTTGTACAGGGTCATATTATGGTGCAGAAGGCTGGCCGCCATCTGGGGTCTTGCCGGGATACGCAGGTATCCAACCAAGTAGCGGTTTTGCAGCTCCAGCGCCTAAAACGCTCCGCCGGACCTTGCCAGCGATCGGCAGCGACGGGGTCCGTCGTCCACCCTCCTTTGTTAGGGGCGCAGCTGGCACGTTCAGCTCCGGCTCGGCAGCCTCCGCCGAGGCACCTGGGTTTCCCGTGAGCCTAAACGAACGTAGCTTTCGATGCTTTGCAGCCCAGTCTTCTTCCTCCCAGCCCGAGTTACGAGGGTGACTGACCCGGCCCACCTCCCTACTTCTCCCTCCCTCGGGCGCA